CTTCAGCTTCCAGAAGACCAGGCTAATCACAGCCACACTGAAGTAAGCCCAGGGTTTCATTAATTCAAGCTTCATTACAACATGAAAGGTCTGAGAACCAACAGATCCACTGACAGATCTTTTTAAACATTTTCTTCTAAAGATTTATATTCAGGTTCAGGAATGTCTTGCTATATTCTGGTGTTTGCTATTTCATAATAGCAAGAGTTATCACAAAGTTATGTCTTAATCCTTGAACATCCGCTGAATACCAACTAACACTTCATAGTGCTTTCCAGCTCAGAGAAGCCCAGGCAGCTAATGGCCCAGTCTAACATCTCCCAAGAGATATCTCCTGTCCATATCTCTACACAGAGCAAATCAAAAGCAGCTTGGAAGGTAGGAAATAGCACTCTGGGCATTCAAACGGAAGGACTATGTCAGCTCCACCACAATGTTAATGGAATATTTGTCAGACTTACTTTTCCAGACTTGACAGTGGCACAACATACCTGAACTGGCGGTGGGGAACAACAAAACTCTCTAGTACAGACAGACCTTAGAAACCATTAGCTTTTTGGAACAAATAATAAACAGAAACACATGAAAGAAATGAAGTATGAAAAGAAACACAGATACTGAATGAAAGAAGAAACACATTAAATGACATTCATTTTAAAAGAAACTTTTTTCTTAACTGGTATTTGAACCTGCTTACACAAAGCTATGAAAACCTGCTTTCCCAAGACTTTTTTCAAAATGTTATCCAAATGAGAAAATATTCTCCAACACAAACAGTGCATTACTTAAGATTAATGCTTGCTCCCTGAAAAAAAAAAATTATCCACTCACACATCTAAAAATCTGAATTTAAAAATTAGAAATCATTAATTAATCACTAGTACATTTTTCCTAATAACATATTCATTAGAAGAGACTGAATGAAGTTGTATATAGGATCAAGCTGCTATACCCAAATAGCAAATGTCACTGCAAATGTATCCCTTCTACACATTTCTCTTTTACCTTCTTTGAAATTACAACAAAGAAAATGGCTTCAACTGCACAATTATAGACTGCTCAGCAAGACAAAAATTGAGAATTGCAGCTTTCTTATGAAACAGTTCAGGATTGTCTATCCCTCCTACGACATTGTGCTTTTCATGAATTGTTTTAAAGTGCTAGCTGGAGATTTTCATAAATACAGGAACTCTAACTGCAGAGGGATGACGAACATCATGACCTAATGACCTCAGCAACTATAAATTAATCTCAATGCTTTTCAATGAATTTTCCATTTTAAAAATGTTGTTGTTTTTTTAAGTAACTGGAACAATAACAGAATTAGTGAAATATGATCAAGGGAAAACTCTAATGCCCTCCTTGGTTACTCATAATGCAAGCACAAAACTACAGGAAGTCTCTGTAGAATTATTTTCTAAGGTAAGACTTGGTGACCATTTAGTATACTAGTCTAGTAAGTGGAATAAAATACAAGCACCATCATCTTTAATGTGAGACAGCAAGAGTATTATCCAGAAGTCTAGGTCAACTCAGTGAATTAATGACACTGACAAATAAAGATATAAAAACAACATTTATATTGAACTTTTTCTAACTATTATTGAAGCAAGACAGTGTTCCTTTTCTTTGATTACATGACCATGATGCAAAAAGCTGTGGGGTTTTTATTTAATTTTTTTGAGCCAGGAACTATTATTACAGTCTACTTGAAAACAACTCTCAAGCAAGGAGATGATGAAAATTTGATTAACTGAAAATTGGCTTACAATGGAAAACTTGTTTATTCTGGCCTAATTATAATAATTAGCAGTTCAGGGCACTTGAGAAAAATCAGTAATCAAAGCACAAAGGATGCCATTTCAAATATTCCACAAAGAAAGAAGAAAGAATCAAACCTGCTGCAAAACAATGAAATGTTCTGACTAATGGAATAATGGGTGATGGAACAGGTAGAAATCTGAAAATGCGACAGAAAAGCAGACCTCTTCTTAGAACTAGATGCAGAGTTTGTGCTGACTCCAGGAGGCATGTCGCTATAAAAAGAGTCGGCCTCTCCAGGCTTTTTTACATAATCTCCCTGGGGTATTTGTCTAAAGTGTAATAAACATTGCAGAGTCAGAAAACATGACAGGCACCAGCACACACACAAACATGCACAAACATTAGTTTAAAGAAAGAGGCAAGGATAATGATCCTTGAGGAAATCTGTTAACCACACACAATAAGCCTATTAATAAGTAATTCAGCCATCTGAGAGAAAACTCCCACATGCTTCTGGTATGTGCAGAAAAGTGGATCATGTGGTTTTGGTAAGGGAAAACAAGGAACATTTCACTGATAAACTCTGATCACAGTTTTCAAAGTGAATAGTTTGTGGTTCTTGAGACACTGGATAACCAAGTTCAGACATTTCAAATGGCACATTGCGCTGGCTGTGAAAAGCACCCCCAGGTGCAGTAGAAATACTGCAGCCCGAGCTGAATGCATGCCTGCATCAAAAAGGAGTTCAGGAAAAGTGAATGCTGGTTTCCTTCTGAGGTAGATGCTTTCCATTTAATTTTTGTGATCATTATTGAATTCAAGAATAGCAACCTGTTGAGTTGTTTAAACCTCAGGAGGACAAAAACCTCCAGTTTATTAACCATTTTCTTGTGCAGGGGAACTAATGCCAGTGTCAGAGGTTCTCAGCTACTCCTGAATACCACAGTACACTCAATCTGCCAAGACACACAAAAACAATGCCACACATATCTGACAATAGTTCATCCTTTTCCAGTACTAAAAGCTCAGATATGGTGCATAAAACTATCTATGCATTAGAAAGTCCTAATCAAGTTATGCAACTTTTTTGCAGATGGTGAATTCATCGCCAGGAGAAAAACTGCCATGCAAATATTCCAGTTACAGTTCCACCAAGTTGAAAAATCCTCCCTAGTACAAGTAGCTACTTTGAAAGTTGGTTATATCATAATACCAGCAACTTAATTATCTATTCAGCCTTGTACTTTCCAAGGACTTTTTGCTTCAGCCTGCCCTATTAAGATGTGCATTTATCAGAAGGTTGATTCACATTCAGATTGTGTCCAACTACAGACCTGAACTGGGCTCTCTTCATTCCATATCTGAATTTCTAATGCTCCTAAAGTATTTAAAATATGTAATTATATGGCACATAAATCATTACTGTAATGCAGCACTTGCACACTATCTCTTCTAACACCTCTTGAGTCTCAGTTCTTGTCCCATTCCTCGGCTGGTACATGCATGTGTTCAGAGTTGACTCAGTGTGGGCAGCTCTGCTTCTCAGGGTTCCTCCAGCAAACTGTTCTCTCACTACTCCTTCAGAAGTAACTTCTCCCATGTAGCTGTGTCCATTATGCCACACTATCCCAGCTGGCAGAATTTTTGTTAATTGGCTCTTTTAATTACTTTCAGTTTACTCGTTTCAGTTGCTTAATACCACCAAATAGCATTCCTTATGTAATCCTCAAAAATACCTCAATGGCTTGTTTTCATCCTTATTTAAGGAGGCATCATAAACAATTAGGAAAAAAAAAAAAAGGACACTTTGGACACTCTGGTGGATGTCTGGTTTTTCCATTTATGGAGCACTCCTTGTACATATCCAAAATTATTCCATTTAGAAGTCAGCCTACAGAACTTCATTTTCTGCATGAAGGAGATTTAGTTACTAAATATCTCCAGGATCTTCAAAATGATGGAGCCCTCCATCACCTTCAAAAGCCTCAGCTCATGCTGGTTTCCACTCTGCCCATGCCCTCGGACACAGCTGCAGACTGACTACATACTCACAGCTCTCTGTCCATATACTAATTTCTGGAGATGAGGGAATTTGAAAAAGTTAGATTCTCTAATATTCTAACGCAAACATGCATGGGGCGGTCTCTTTCTGTATTTTGAGGTTCTGTCTGCTCTGCCCTCAGCCAACACCGAAACATCCACAGTAGAGTGACTTGATGGCCCTGTTAGTCTGCACTTATAGATATATCGCGTTCCACTAACCAGCACCAAACCCTGAAACTCTGCCTTCCTTGTGCCGTGTGACATTTCCTACCCACCAACCTCTCCATAAGGCTTGATTTCAATAGCGTTGCCTTTTTCCTGTTACTGTTCCTGCCACCTGTCTGACCTTGTAGTATAAAACCAGCACATGGCAGTGCTTTTCTGCCTTTTGCAAGTATTTTGAGCCTGGCAGAGAAAGCGCTACACAGGCAGGGGAAATGGAGAACAAGCACAATGGGTAGCAGCAACAAACAAAGCAGCAGCTTGGACCAGGCGGCGGTGATATAGGCAGAAAACAGGGGAATTTGAGAAACCCTCATATCTGTGGGGGATTGGGAGAGGAAGGAACCAACTCCTTCCCAGAAGACCCATCTGCCAGGCAGATGACTGATCAAAGGGAGGTGGTCTTCCAGGAGCCAAACTGAAGCCACTTGGAACTGTTTGATTTTTGGCCACAAGCTTAAAAAGGTGGAAGTTCAGCTCTGTGCTGAAGATAGTACTGTGCTTTAGCTACAAATCAATCAAGCAGGGTAGCAGGAAAGAATGGGCTCTTCATTTGCACAGCAATTTAACTGCATTGTATTTTTAACTGCAAAGAAGCTTCAGGAATGAATTTGTCTCAAAAGGCTCCTGAACACCATGTTAATATTAATTATTCAATTCTTGGCCTCCCAAGAACACTTTCATCTCTAATAGCAAATTTTCAGTCTCTCTTACTGGAAATATTCTCCTGTTTTCCTAAATAAAATGGTCTATCTCAGAAGTAAAATTGTTTCTGCTACTGAGTCCAGTGAAATCAGGATTGCAAGCAATGTGTTTATAGAATAAATACCAATTTCATATATTCACACAAATACTCTTTAAAATATGATAATTCATCACTATATTTTCTTTATAGCATGTAAATGAGCAAGAGAGAAGAAAAACTATTTTCAAAGCTTTCTAAGATAAATTTCATTACTTTTATCACATACCTCTGTCTTCTGTAGTTTCTTTCCACACAAAGAGAAAGAAGAATGTTATCAGTATGCAAGTACACATGATCAGTAAGAGAAAAAAAAAATGTAAAGAGAGAAGCAATGTATGCAGAATTAAATTTTTGCTCAAAATAGTTCTACAGAAAACACTTCTGAAATAAACATACTCAGAAACATACTAAATCAGAATAAACAAGGAAAATATATTCATGTTGATGTCTCAGGTCAGTGCCGAGTTGGAGGTGCAGTTCATGACAAGTCTAAGTCTATTCACTGTGAAGCTGCTAGTGAATGGTGCAACTCTGGCTCTCCACTTCCAAAAATCAATCCCACTGGCCAGATGTGATCTCAAAATGAGCCCTTAACTTTTGGAGTTCTACTCAGAACAGAAGACTAGATTTTCAGATACTGCCAGAAGCTGAGGCTGATATACCAAGACAGCATAACCTACCTTTTTACTATCCTAATCTTCATGCTTTTTTCCAAATGCTTCTTTCGTTATGTATTTCTGAGCTGCCCTCAGCTTACCTCAGTCTAACAAATCAGCAGGGGATGTGCCAGTTCATTATGCCAAACCACTGGGGCCATGTCCCAGCTACAGCACTGCCTGCAGCTGAACCTGCCCTCCCCTCCAAGCACACCAAGGACCCATGGAGGAAAGACTTCAAGAGCCAGTCTCACCCAAACACAAGTGACAAAGTAAGTACCTTGAATCTTTTTTTAATATATGCAAAAACCTAAACCCCTCTAGTTTTAGAAGAAATTCACAAAAGGAGAAAAACTGAAAAAGATCAGTTAGGCTAAAATAATCCATTTTGCCTCTCAGTGAGTGGAAGACTAACAGCTCTACACCAGGAGAGTACTTGTACCTTATTTGCAAATTACAGATCTCTCTCTTACCAAAAAATGTGCCTGAATTAATTGCTGGTTAAGCTGACTGAATATAAACATCTGTTTAAGGAAGCCTATGGTTAAATGCTTTACTGACTGACTGAAGGCTAATTTTGCTAAATTTACTTCATCATTAGGAAAAATCTGTAACTGAATCAGACTGTATTCTTGTATTTCCTTTGTCAGATACAGTAAAATCATAATCCAATTGTCTACAAAAAAAGAAAATACATAACTAAATAAGAAATAAATTTCAACCTGGATCAAGCTCTCCAAAACCACATATACATGTAAGAATTGCTTGAAAAATGCTAATGCTATAAAAATGTCACTGTATAAACATAATGCAATTTGGATTTTTTAGATTATGTTTGAATTGCTTTTTTCATAACTTAATCAGCTATCAGTTGAAATAGACATATTTTTAAACTGTATTAAGAAGAACACAATTTACTTACTTGTAACCCCAACCAGTTATTCCTAAAACGAGAGCCAACACTAAAATGGTGCCAGCAATAGCCCCTATTATTATATTTGTGCTAACAACACCTGGAAACACAAGAAAGGGGAAAAATATACAGGGTTTTAGGAAAAAAATATACAAAACCAGTAAATGCACTGTCTTTCAAAAATCTGCTTGGGCAACTTGCACTAGACTGATTAATTGTAACCAGTGATATAATCTTGAAGCATAGTATGAACACAGAAGGATCATTTGTAAATCAAGCTTTGACCTCTGTATCCGTTTCCCTTAACCGGACACTTGCTACATAGGAAAGTTGTGCCAGGTATGCCAATAAAATGTTACCAACATTAAACTGCTGTAGCTTACAATCGTACAACCTGCCTGGCAAACACATGCTTACATTGGAATAAAAGTGACTATTTGTTTGGTTTTGCTCAAATCCATTCCATAGCTGAATAAACTAACCAAAAGATACATTCTGGAAGATGGTAAAATGGTGCCCCCCAAGGATTTATAATGAAAAACATTTACATCCTCATTTTTCCACAATGTATCTTTCTTTTGTACGCAAGCCTAAAGATGAATAAAAACTTTCACTCAAAAAACGTAAAAGCCCAAAAATTGTGTGCCAATATACTGCATACTGGCTGTGTAATAAAAATTTACTCTACAAATAAAATCCAATCGTGTAAGCAACATTACCTTTCATCTAGATATGAAAAGTCCCTGTAACTTTTTGCTTGTCCTAATCTATTATTAGACTTAATAAGGCCACTCAGATGACTGGGACAAGCAAGGTACAACCAGTCACACTGGTACCAGTCCTGAGAGCTGTACTGAGTGCTTGTGAGCAGCACTGCTCGCATCCAGCCCGAGGACACCAAGTGCTTCTGCTGTGGGAGGAAGGGAAGGGAATGAGGCTCCTAAAGGTGCATCGTGTTGTATGGTAATTGAAAGAGCAGGAGATCTACTTTTGCTTAATGAGCCTTCCTCAAATCTAAGCTTTTCCAGTTATTGGTAAAAATTGTAACAATGTACCTTTATTGATGGCATCTTTATCAAAAAACATATCATCTTTGATGCGAGAACTGCAGTCATCTCCTCCCCAGAATCGGTCACAGACACACTTTATTTCATTGCTACAAACCTGCAGCCAAAAATGTAGCTCAGAATAAAAACATAAAATCAATGTATTCCCATAATTAATAGCTACAGTATAGGTAAAGTCATATAACACTCATTTTGACTGCCTGCAAAATTCTGCAAAACATTTTTAATATACAGCAATTTTTAATTTGTATATTAGATATAGATGTATTAAATGTATTACATTTTATATATAAATACACATAATGTGTATTAACTACCTTAATATGTTTTAATGTAATATATATTTAATAGAGGCATTTATAATTGCTTTGGGAGACTCTGAACCTCAATGATGTTATTTTTTCAAAATATGATGAAGTGGTTAATTTCAGATAAAAAAGGGAGTTTTAATGCAGTGTAGAAGACAAAAGATGTTATGAGATAACAAATCCTTTGATCTCAGCTCAGCCATAGGGACTTGGACACAGTTTTAAACTGTGTGAGGGACAAGCGGACTCGCCAGGGCCAGAGCAAAGCCATAGGCTGTACACCAAGAGGAGAAGCTGCCACTAGCCAAAAGCCAGCTCACTGCCCTCTTCTCTAGAGCAAAGTAACTCTCAGCCAACAAAATCCAACAACTTTATGAACCTTCTTGGCTGTTGACACAATAAAGAAGGAATTAGAAAGAGCATCTGGAAGAACAGATACCCAAGTTTCTCAGTTCATAAAACCTTTATATTCTCCAGTACATTGCCTGAGGAAATACCAATCAAGTTAGCAGAAGTGATAGCAAAATAATTGATTGATAAAATTCTTGTAAAACTAATACATACTTACTATGACTCATTGTTTAAGATGCCTTGACTGGTACACATTATGTTTACTTATGTGCCTCCTCCCCTTTTCCTTTTCAAAAGCTTCTCCAGTATAAACACTTTAGAGTCACACTGCTGGCTTCCTGAAAGGTCTAGCTAGTACACTACACAAAGCCAGTTACTTAGCAAAACCAGAAAAAAGGATTAAAAAGTACAAGAACATACACCATGTCCTGAACAAATTTGGCTGTCTGTGGTGCCTGGGCAGGTACTGAAGTTGAAGGCTTCAGCAGGCAGGCAGCGATGCTCAAGGCACACCATGTTTGGCCCGCACGGCGTCCCATTCTCCACATAGCCCAGGTCTGTCTCCTCATCAAGCTTCACATGGCCCCCACTGCAAGACAATCAAGAGGATCCCAGAGACTTGTGCTGTGATTTGATGGGACTGCTTGAGAATCTGGGCTGTGGCCTGCTGCCTTCATTTCTGTCTGCATTATACGATGCCCAGGACCAGGAAAGAGTAAGTATTGGCTTATTTATCTCACTGACCCTAATATGAAACAAACCAAAACACAGTATATCTACATCAAACAAGTCTAATGGTGAAAACAAAGACTATTTTTCCTGTGTAAGAGCTAATGTTAGATAAAAAACTGAGTTTACTTGTGTTAGGACTTTATTTCATCTTACAGTTGTGTGAAGCTATAAGAACACACCAGGTCTATAACTGGGATTCAGCTAACATATGGCAACATATTAAGCTGCCAGTTAGCTTGGGCAGTGCAGGCATATGTCTAAGTATTTTCAGTACATTAAGTACTGAAAATAAACATTAAAGAATGTAAAATCAAGAGGCCAGAGAAGAGCATTATGTCCCTACAGGCAAAATTAACTACTACACAGAGGGGATCACAAAACAGCTGCGCTCCCCATGTGCAGTAAATTTCCTGAAGCCCAACAAAGATTGAGCTGGAATAACAGTTATCTGGGGAAAAAAAAAATAATGGAAACAGTTGCTCTCCACTTAGGAATGAGAAAACTGCTTTTCTATGCAAGATGGATATTGATTCTTCTGTTTTCAGGATTTCCAATCACCTGCAATTGTAGATTTTTCCAAACTGCAAGATTGATGATGTGATTTCACCATCAAGTTCTCCAAGTCTGGGCACACTGGATATATTGGAGCACAGAAGATATCCACAAAGCACATCCCTGCATTGAGAGAATAAACAGATACTCACCAAAAAGAAAATTCAATTAAAATGGACGATCAAAAAAATGCAGTTTTCTTCACTTCTTTGTAACATGTTTGTTATTCCTTGCTTTTCTCCCACTGACAGTAACTCCCATAAATAATGTCCTGTTTCCCAAGAAAATCCCAAGAGGTTAGACTGGAAAAAGAGTATTTTTTATGATGTATTATCAAAAATGCTCTGAGTAATAGCAAGCAGAGAGCTGTCAAGAACAAACCACATCAAACTGATTTAATATCCTATTAAGATACAGTAACTGGCCTATAGAGGAGAAGCAGTAGATACTAGCTTTAAACAAACTCTCATGTAACACGTATGTAAGGGAACTAGAGACATCAAGTTCAATTCAGCTGTTGAAGGGACTTTACAACTCGTGTGTAGAGACTTGTGCAGTGTCAGAATAGAAGGGTCTGGCCTCTCCCATATTACTGAATAGGGGAGAACACAAGTAAGGTTATCAAATCATAGAATCATAGAACGGTTTGGGTTGGAAAGGACCTTATTAAGACCATCTAGTTCCAAGCCCACTGCCACAGACAGGGACACCTTCCACTAGACCAGGTTCCTCAAAGCCCCATCCAACCTGGCCTTGAACACTTCCAGGGATGGGGCATCCACAGCTTCTCCGGGCAACCTGTTCCAGTGCCTCACTACCCTCACCATGAAAAATTTCTTCATGGGTCATGTTGAGCTTGTTGTGAACCAGCACCCCCAAGCCCTTCTCCTCAGGGCTGCTCTCAAACCATTCTCAGCCCAGCCTGTATTTGTGCTTGGGATTGCCCTGACCCACGTGCAGGACCTTGCACTTGGCCTTGCTGAACTTCATGAGGTTTGCACAGAAAGATGGGAAAGGACATTATTTCACCTGTAGGCAGGACTAGAATTCAAATGGCATTGACAGAATGGAGAACTCGTCTGAAAAACCAGGATGCAGTTTGATAAGGACTGGTGAAAGCTTCAGAAACAGGCAGAAATAATCAACTGCATTAAATACAGAATGTGAAACAATGGTTTAGGCAGCAACTTGCGGGAGAAGATGTGGAAAGTTACAATACAATAAAAAACTGAACACAACTTTGCAATGCAATGGCACATCATAAAAGATGAACTGAGACAGGAAGCCACAGGCTGCTCTCCTCTGCACTGCTAAGCCTCACCAAGAGTACTAGGACCACTTTTGGTCCAAGTGCTCCCAAAGCCCAGATGGTGCTCTCTTGTCAGAGATCATCTCCTCTTGACACTCTGCTCCCTCCAGAATTTCCTGCACTAAGGCCTGCAGAAGTCTGATCCATACAGAGGCTTTTTGAACCGCTTCATGCCAGGTAAAGAACTGGATCAGGGATAAAAAGTCTCATACCAGTTGTTTTCTAAATGGATCAACTTACTGTTTATTGCACTGTATCCAAGAGTCCTTGTCTCTTCCACAGTTTCCTTTCTCAGTCCCTTCAATATTCAGCTTCTCGTAGCAGTATCTGTCAGCAGCTGTCACTTCTAAAAACAGAAACAAATTTCTTCTAAGATGATGAAGACTTTGAAAAGCCAGGTCCTGTGAAACGGGGATGCACAACCAAAGCAAGCAGAGCTTCCCAATCTGTGAACTGCAGGTGGCCTGTGAAACTCTGCACAGTGTTCTCAATGAGAAGTTTTCTGTTGGCACCACAGAACTGTTTTAAAATTTTGTTCGGATTGATTAGGGTTTATTGGCCCAAAATGTCCAGAAGCCACTGAAATAAATATGAATATAGGCTCCCTAGGTGGTTATAATGAGAACTTACACCTAAGACTTCAGAACAATCACCAGTAAGTAAACCAACACTGGAGAAAGAGCTGGAAAAGAGGATGGAAAGACAAAATGAGGCATAATGAGGGACATACAGTCCTAGCTGGTTTCAATGGTTCTGAATATATCTCTTCCATAATTTTTCCTAGCCATGATAATCTTTCAAGCCACACGAACAACAACCAACTTAGAAACAGTAACATTCACTCACTTTCACCCCAGATATATTTACACTGCCGGTCCCTGGTTTTACATCTTCCACCAAAACAAATACCCTAGAGAGAAAGAACAGATAAGGAAAAGTTTCAAATAACTTGATTTTCCAAAATATCTATTTGTTTAATATACAGATCAGTAACATGCTTTCTGTTGAGGCAACTAATTTGCAATGCTACTTTCTGTTCATTCAAATGCTTGTTCCAAAATATGACTAGCACCCAAAACTCAGGAACGTCAGCAGAACTGTCCTAGGTGAGTTTGAAAGATCTTAAACCAAAATCTATAACAAGCAATCTATAAAAGCAGAAAGAATGTCAAACAAACTGAAGTGCTAATTACCTGCTTGTTATCACATGAATATCCATCCATTTTATGAATATTGGGAGAACACTATAGAAAAAGAAAATAATAGATCATAGATCAGACAAGCATGGAAGCAAAATATACAACAAAAGTCATATGGAAAAATTATTTCAGTATCATGCTGTTTTTTTCAGTATCATGCTGGTTTTTTCAGTATCAAGGTTTAATACAATTTTTATACACCTTACTATACAAAACGGTAACATTCATAGTGATTGAGAGACTACAGGTGGCTTTTTTTCATCCCTTGAATAGAGGATATGAAAATCACCTGACTGGAATTTCCTGTGCAGTTCTCTGCAATATCACAATCATTCACCGCTTCTCGGCACAAAACTCCTTTAGGTTCAAACTGAAAAAAAAGGACAGAAAATTAGCATCTTGGTCTCTCCATATCTTGCCTTAAATGCAATGCTTCCTTAAGAGTTTTAACTAAAATAAAAAATGCAAAATATTCATGTGCTGACTAAAGTGGGAAGACATTCCTTTCCCTGGTGCCACTCAAGCCACCAGTCATTCACCGGTGCAAGTGGTACCACCCTCTGAGGCACCCCCTCCCAAGTGCATTGAGTGCGGGGCCAAGCAGGGTACATGCTCTCGTGGGACACAGGACCCCTGGGGTTTATCGAACCAATACTGCAGTGGCAGCATTATCTTGACCAGGTCATTGCACCTTTTATTTTACTCTTCTTTGTAAAACAGGGAGAGCGATCCTGATCTTCTCTCTACAGATGAAGAACACTGCAAAGCTCTAGGTATAAACAGTATGGTTATCACAATGACCCATTACTGCTGTAGAACAGGAACTATTAATAAATGCACTGAATTATGTATGGTTTGACACCATTTTCTAAGTGACCTTAACAATGGAAAAAGTACCAGTGACCTAACACAGGTACTTTGGTTAAAGACTCCTGTGCTAAGTCTCAAGATCTGTAAAAGCAGGAAGACATCCCATTAGTGGCAATTGTTAGTGCTTCTGGTCATGGACTTACTACACACCCCTTATTTTTTCCTGAAAGGTTTCTTAACACTGTGATACCCAGTCCATTTTGCAGCTCTGTGACTTTTTTTTCTGGATCTGCACGCACATATTTTTTTGGGGACAACTGCTAACTCCACAGCTGGTGTGAACAGGTACACGTCAGTGGAAGAGCTAGACTCTGGTACTTTCTCAGCCTTCAGCTTATCTTTTTTCTACCAGCCTCTGGAAAAATGCAGACAGACAGGAAAGTTGTCAGAGACACTACAGGATGCTGGGTTGTACACTCACCATGTTTGCTTGCAATTCCTCCTTCACTCCTGCTTTCAGGCAGGGTATTACAGGGGAAAGTAACCCCAAATTTGGGAACTGTTATATATGGTCTTTTGAGTTGTCCTAATTAATACCTCCTAGGGACACATGTTTTGCAAAATTCTGCCTTTCTCTTTGTTGGCTTACCCTCATCACTCTGTATGTAGATAAACCCTTGTCTCATTTGCAAAAATAACGTAGGTACACAGAAGCTTTATTTTTTCCTGATAGTCTTTAATATGGTGCCTGTATGACTTGGATACTTGAACAAAATCCACCCACATTGGCAATCTGCCAAATTTTTTTATATTACATTAAGAAAAAGAATGTGCTTAGGGAAATGTGATCTGTTCCAGCATAATCTGTGCTTTTTCTTTTTTTAACATTAGGATGAGCACGAAGTCAAGAATGTGGTCCATAGTCATTACTAACATTTCTTCTAAGGAAATGGAACCCTCAAATGCCCACAAAGATAAAAATATCACACACAGTACACCACAGTTTTAATAATATTAATAATAATTACTATTACTACTAAATGGGTATAAACAACTATTTGAAGTCATATTTAGCTAGGCTCCCTTACAGCCAAGATCTGGCTAAACCTCCTTTTACTATTTACTGATGTATCAGGAAGAATACCTTATAGTTTACATACGGCTTCATTCCCTTTACTCAACAAGATTTCAGTCAGTCTAAACATAAGGAGACACAGGCAGACCTAACTGAAACTGAAGTCAGGTGTCTTTTAGATGAATACTTCTGAACAATCCTGATGGCTGCATTTTGATTTTGTTTTTGTTTTTTTACTATATTCTTCTCTCAGGCCTTCTGTGGTATGATTTTCCCCTTCAGTTTCATGGAGCAAATCCAGAGTAACATGTAACGCATTGGGAGCAGCACATAAGTAAGGATGTCTGTGTTTAAAGAAGGATGTCTAATGAAATCTCGTGGGTCTTCAACCTGATTCAAACTTGTCTGAAATAGGAAGGCTTTAATTGACCTCTGCATTTGATCACAGTCCCTGCCCCAAGAAGCCAAGCCTAAAAGACAGAGAATAGCCCCAGACGAACGAGTTTCCAGCCAATTTTAAAAGGTAAGCTTTCAGAAAAGTTATCACAAGGTCTGCAAGGAAAAGGACATGTGTTGTGGTGCCTGTAGCCACCTGGATTAATTCCCGCCAGGATGCTGCAGTGAAGGTCACTGCCCTTACCCGGCACTTCCGACAACAAAGCCCGTTGCTGCACTGGGAGCCTGCTGTCAGGGTGCAAGTACTGCAGCACTCTCCTCCTTCGCTGGCACACTCCTGAGGAACACACACACTTATAACAGAATACATGGGAAAAGCAGATGAGCCCCAAGCTCTCTTTTCACTTCTCGCCTTAGCATGCCACCTGAACAGATTTTTAACCAGGCTTTTAGGCACCTGGAAGCAGAAAAAGGCATGCACTGTGGGGCATGCAGCTGCTGTTTCCTATGCAATACAGGAAATAATTTTTCCAACTTCACAGTGTCAATCATTAAATACTGACATTTTAACACTGAACAGAGTCATATTCCCACCTAGGAAAACACTTTCTTTAATATCTTTTAAGGCCTGATTCTGCACAGGTAGCTATTACTATTACTCTTCAGAATTTATGTGGTGATAAAATAAAAAAGCTGACCCATGTTGTTAAACACACAAGAGGCAAGAAATGATGAATCCTTTGCCACAGGACCTTAACATTGCCTGTCTTCCTCCACTTAACATTAATGGCAGTGATGGGTAGCACCAAGTCCTGGAGAATCTAGTTGCTAATTTAAAGTACATTGCACTTACCGCTATCGTCCCACAGTCACACTCTTCTCCGTCTTCCACAAAGCCATTGCCACATTCTGGAGGATCCAGAAGCTGTGGGGCAAAATCAGAAATCAAAGGGCATGTCTCTCCTAAGGGAATCATTGTCATATTTACACAGTACAACATGTTGTTTTTAGCTAGCACTGCAAATGCATTAACTGAACAAAAGTACCCACAACTCAGGGAGAAGCAGACTAGAAACAACACAAACAAAATATGCAGAGAATGAACAATGCTGTGATTTAATTAATACTGCCGAGTCACATGGCATCTTCTGTGCACGAATGCCATTCTTACAGCAGATTCAGCTTGAGCAGAAGTCACAATCAAAAACAAAAGGTGTGACAATAAAAGAAAAAATTTAAAACAATATGACACTTTCATTATTATCACAGGGGTTGCAACTGCAATTGTTCTGGAATTCAAGTGATGAGGGCTGTGTCCCAGGTTGAAGCCTGCATTATAACTTCAGAAGGACTAGACATAAAAAAATTGTCCTTTCATAGCACATGGCTCAGAAATGCAGGGAAAGGGGAGAGGCTGTGTTTCTTTGTCAGTTTTTGTTGCAGTTGTATGCTTTTTCCTTCCCTTTTCCTCTACCACAGTTGGGAACTTTCAGCAGTTTTCCATAAGCGTATGTCACAGTCAGATGCGAAAGTATAGCTATTGAGGCACTCTCCCTTTCCCTTCAGCCTCCCCACTAAATTGTAACTTAAAATGTCTAAATCTGTTTATTTTTAGTAGTACTTTCCCTTCCCAGAGGCAAGATTCATTCACCATTTTTTACATAGGATCCATGCTATGCTTTCCTCTAATGGAAACTTATACTCTCTTCTTTCCAGTTTCATTGGTTCTCTTTTCCTGAAATTTCTAAAGGTAATTTTTCAAAAAGAAAATAAAATGTTTTTTTCTTTGTACATAAGAAAACATAATAGCAGCTTTTATTACGTAAATGAGAAGGCATATAAGTGTGTCACCAAGACTAAAATTTTGCAGATTGTCCTCTGAGTTCTCCAATTAAACTACGATCATTCCAGAAACTACTCTGCTTATGAGCCATCTGCACAAGTACATCACTCATAGTGTAGTGCGTTTCTCTCCAGTTGCTGCCTTTCTGTCAGTAGCCCACAGGATGGAGCATCACCCCACGTACTTCACTGTGCCACAAATCAGCCAGAGGCTTGTGGCACAGGCTGACGTGCCATTGTTAGATCTCCCTATTGAAATGGAAATTTGACTGCAGTATGAAATGCCTATGTAGAATTTACCATTAAATGTAAGGAAGCAATTCTCTTTTAGAATTATGAAAGAGTTGCTAAAACTGCTTATTTCCTGTGTATTTTTCCAGATATCTTAACTTCTTCAGTATCTCTAGGTGTGCTGCACAATATGGACAAGTAGATGGCAGTAACAGAGAGTCCTGCCTTGAAACATTGAGCCCATTTGCTGCAGTACATAGGGACAGCTAAATAAGAAATGGAAGAAAAAAAAACATGAAAAGCAAATTGGATAACTTTTCCCCCAAAGTCACATAATTCAACCATTCATTTGAAAAGAGCATATGCTCAATCTGCTCCAGCAGTCTCTGATGTAATTTTCAGGATCACAGCTGATCTTAGAGTGGAGCACCATCCAACACTGCACCTTGTCAGATCAGTTTTCCTTTCTCTCGTATTTCTTGAAAAGCAAAAGTAAGTTTGTGTTTCACCGCCCTTGCTAGGAAACACATGTCTTTGACAGCCTCGTGAATTACTCAGACATCCATTGACAATAACTTTAAACCAACCCAAACAATACGTAAGAGTCTAAATCACCCTGGCTTCCACATCTAACTTTCACATTTCCACGTCATTAGAAAAAAATGTTAATGCTGCCAATCTAAATTGAGATGAGAGTTAATTGCTTTTTCAAAGTAACAGATGCGTAACTGAACATAATTACTAAAACAAGCCCAAGTAAGACACATTACACTATGGAAACAATTCACTCAGCAAAGAAATAAACCCACCAATATTTCTCTCCACCTTTAATGAAATGGGAAACAGCAAACTTCTAAAATGCAGTTGCATTTTAAAGAATGAGAAATCTTACATCTTATTAATGAACCACAGTGCTTTCTCTCCACTTTTAATAATACATTCTTCCATGAAAAGGAGAACTTTGAGAAATAAGCAGACTCAGCTTATCCAGATTTGATGCCTTCTCTTCCCCTCTCTAACATTTATCAAAATTCTGTCGTTGTCAGAAGATGCACTTTTTCTCAGCCGCTCCAGGAGAAACGTGCACCACTCCAGAACTGACTTTCTCTTTTACATCTGTGACCACCTCAGCTAACAAGTCTTTTTTCCACATTTGACTGTCTTTCTGTCTTAGCCTCTTTCCTTCACTTGTTGAAAGACAGCCATTAAACAGAGGATAACATTAAATATATATAAAAGAGAGTCAAGATCATTATCCTGACTACTTTACATTTTAACACATGCTTCAGTAAATGGACAGAAATATACTGAAACCCTGCTACAAATCCTCCATTGTAAAGCATTTGCATCTCGGCTGGAGTTTCTTTAGACTTGTTTTGTATTTATTTCCCTTAAATGTCTCCATTTATCATTTCCTACTCTTTGCATCCTTCACGTGAGCATACCTGTTTAGCAGGCCAAAACTGGGACAAGAGAAGCAAAGAAAAGGTGAATACTATCTCAAGAGATATTCTCCATTTCTCCTGATTTCCAAGACTCATTCAGCAAGACCTCTGATTTCGTACTTTAGAGGCAAATTTGGAGGGGATGTGTCAGTCATTTAAGCAGGTCCCAAGCCTTTAGGGAGGTAACACACCCTGCTAAATGAGGGGACGTACAGTGGCAGTGAGGACCAGGGGCCAGCAGGGATTCACCAGCCCTCCTCATCTGGGGGGCTACTCAGCACAAGGCAGGGCTGTGCAGAGCCACATGCACTGGCCTGGAAGGAGCTAACACAGGGCTAAGATGATCCAAGGACTTCTCACCAGACACATTTCTCCCCCAGCAGATGCAGTTCAGGATATGACAGACCCTGGTGATGTGGGCAGCACCTAGAGAATGAGGAGTGTGACAGGCACTCAGCAGCCACCGGTTCTCCTAGTGTCTGTCCCCTACTCCTCAAGGCTTTCTCTCCTGCTCTGCCTCTTCCAGCTTTAGAAAAAAACTAGTCCCAGTTTTCAAACTCTGTTCTGAGAGCCACTGTAAAAACTTTGCCTCCTCCAAAGAGGGAGAATTATCACAACCACTTGTAACCACGGGTGCCTGTAAAGCTGCTGGGCTGCACAGCAGTGCACTCCCTGCAGAGGCTCTAGGAGCCGTGTCTTCATCTTGGGACAGATGTGAAATAAAAACAATCTTACTTCAGTCTCCTGAGATTCGTACCAGAAGACATCAGTTCAAGGCGAATTAGAATTCAAGCTGTGCAAAAGTTTACCGAGAGACTTGAAACCTTGGCAAAAAAATTCAGCAACGTACTGTATTTACAATATTCAAAACAAATTGCGTGAGGGATGGTTCTAGATGAAAGCCTGTGGGAACTCTGTTGGACATGAAACCACTTATTAAAAACTTATTTAAATATATTTTCCAAACTATTATGAACTAAAATCAGTTACTTTCACTCATATGTCACCAGAAAATTTAGAACTTAGAAAGAAACCAGAAATATCAAAATTACATTCTTCTTGGTTTCATCTAAATTAGAAATGGAATAGAAATAATACTCAATAATAAGGTAATGCTTACTTTAGTTGGTTTATTGAAAAGGCAGGCTCCACCTCCATTGTTTAAAAATTCATGATATTCTTCAATATCACACTTGGAGAACTTGCTTGGAAGATAATACCTGCACAGAAATAAAGCAGCAGGACTACTTTCTATAGTGCTTTTTACACCGTATTTTCTTTTTTTCAAAATAGGAGGAGAAATATAATGTTATTCTTTAGAAAAAGTATAAAAACACACTGTTCAGAATCCGAGTGACTATCTGCTTGTAACTCTAACTTGTAAATCATTTTAGTAAATGACAAAGAACTTTCAACAATGACACAGAGCTCATGGAAAGTGAGAGGTCTAAAACATTTCACTAAGTTATTTCATGCCAAACACCACAAGTCTTATTACACAGTGTGTAGTTCTCAAAAACATGACCTGTTCCACTAACAGGCCTGATCTCAGAAATATATTTATTTCTTTCCGTACATACTGCAGGAGACAAAGATTGCTCATAGTTCATTTCCCTCTTAGATGAAATTGCTCTCCTGGTCCACAGAATTATTATGTAATAGAGGTATGCCATTTTAAAACATGCTTCTAATAAACATCAGCTAAAATTTTGGCTTCCTTCTCTCATGTGCCCCACTGAATAAATTTCATTCAAGTACAGCGTGCCAACCTAATGGCACAGGGCACCACCTAAAAACAACATGATGCAGAGAATCTTTACATTGATCCTTTCCACAGGGAAAGAATTTTTCCCACAGTAACTTAAGTGATCTTTATATTTAGGTCCTTAGTCATGAAAGTACTTATGCTTCAAGCAGATTTTGGAGTCTCAAGGGCTTTCCTGTATCAGCTCATCACTGGATTAAAAAAATATTAGCAGAAGTGCTATATAAAATAATCCTGCATTGTCAGGAATGATGGTTTGCAAAATATAATTGGCCTTTTCCATTTCTAGTGTTTATGATTTAGGTCTAAAGACTACGTAGAATGTGGGGTTCACCAACCTTCATTAATAAGCTAGGTAAATACAAGCTTTTTTGTGTACCTAATTATTTGAAAGGTTTAGACTTCAGATAAAGAATTTAAAGACCATTAGATAAGGAATCACCTTTACAAGAATCAAGAATGCTTCTCAGATTGGCTTTTTAACATGTTAAAAATCAGAAAAATCCTACCTGATATGTTTTTAGATAGACACGGTGAAAATGGCAAACATTCACACTTCCAAAGAGCTCTGAATGAAATATGCTTCTTTGTTCAAAATTGTTCTGACCACAAAGCTATTGTGAAAATTTGCAAGTCAGTTTGAAATTTACAAATTTGAGTACTGTCTATATCTAAAACTAGACTGTAGTTTAATTCCTACAGATGATTCCTAAAGATGAGCCTGTATTATGAAGAACTAAGGGTCTGAATACACACATTAGAAAGTATCAAATTTAATCTAGCAGAAAAAATTTGCTTATTCACTAGTCATCAGATAAAATCTGTCCAGTGATTTTACCTGTGGCTGTTAGCATACTCAGCCTCCAATGGGAGTAGTTTTTTAACTTTATTATACAAAATAGGAGATAAAAAATGATAGATATAGATGAAAGATTCCAACAGAAACACTGAAAATGAGACATACTTAAGAAATTTGAGACATACTTAAAGAATTAGGATGTGTCATTGCTCCCACAACTCAATAGCAAACTTGCAGGAGAAAAGAAGCTAGACATACTTCTGCTTCTTTGCAATGACCTGGCTTGGCTGTTGAGCCCTGTGCTTTGTGAGTTAAACCAGCAGTCACCAAAAATCCTCACATATCCTCTCATCAACTCACTTCTCACACTTCTTTGGAATTGTCTTTTTTATGTATGTTGTACAGCTAATACATTATTTTCTGAAAAATGATTCACAGAAAATATTC